CAGAATACTAAAAAACAATAATTAATGTTTTATTTCCTGTATACAATAAGGTAGTTTCGGTGTTAAGAGTTTATTTCTTGTCGTTTCATCTGCTTAGATTATATCCAGTTATGAAATGTATTATTTACTGCATAGTTTAATTTATACTACAGTGTACACAATACATCTTTATTACATCATTCCACTTCGCAATGTATATTACAGGGGGTTCTTTCAACACCAAACACTTTGGTTACACATCCCAGTTTCATTCTATAACCCTTCCACTTCAATGTGCAAATGGAAACACCCGATTTCACACCCAAAAGAACCCTTGCAGCAGCGTGATTTTTGTCACCTGAAATCACACTCAGTTTGAAAACAGAAAGAAATCCCAATTAGGTAGATTTGAAACAGTTGAATACACCGCGACCCTGTATTGCTAATTATTTTCGCTAATTGATCAGACTCAAAGACCCCAAGTTTGGGGTCGCGATGCAGTTTTTGACTTTACAACCCCATTTCTTGCCTCTGCCGAACCTTTTTACTGCCATCGCGCAACGGCATCGTATAATATAGTCTTGAAAAGGGTTTCATACATTTACCACTCACAAACACTGTTCATACAGACGATGTGATGACTTTATAATGTTCCGCAGATACAATGATACAAAGATTTTATTTGGCTTATCAAAAATATTGTTACAGGCTATCTCAAACAGTGCCCCAGCTTAATAAGCATAAAATTTCACTTGTATTAAAACATGTATTACACGGATGTACATTCACATTTCTTGTCCGGACTATATTAAAATTATATAGTCACGACTCTCTTCGTTATTTTGCTGAAAACTCGGGACTTGTTGTTAAGTGTCAAACTACGGCGATAGTGCGTATTATAAACCGAGTGAGTAGGACAACCGAACGCATGTTTAACGACCAATTATAAACTGTGTTTAGAACGCAAAAAAATGGTATTTGATTCAAAACTGTTGAAATTTTAATTTCTAACGATCAAGTTTATTATACTTAACCTATTGGTTAGTCCTACCTCTCTACTCTATTCGTTAGCAAAAAATGAACTCACTTGGTTAACTCTAACCAATAAGTAGGCCTACTAATTAATTGGCGTTCAAAGTCATCCTGGTTTATAAGTTAAACCTGGACTACATAGAATAAACTTAATACAAAACCCAGAGAACTCTAGGGCAATTTGGGATATTATAAAACTCATTTTACGGTAATAAGTCTAACCTCCAAGTCAAATTAAAAATCTGTAAACTACCGAAACACAGTAAACAGTTCAATCAAACTAAGTAGCTTACACTGTTGGATTCTTATGTAATTTTTACCAACTGCTTTCAAATTACTGTCTTGATTACTCAAAACCCGTATTAATAGAATTTGGTTAAGTGCAGATTTAGTGTACACTCTATTCCAAAACTCCACTTAATAGAGAACACACGTTTAAGTTGAAAATCGACGATGGTTTTACAAATATTTGCATTTTCGCGGCGAGAGTATTAAAGTCTACCCAGAAAGCCGAAGGGCTCATTTCCCTGTGTAAATACAATTCGTTTATTTCATCCAGAACGCTGGAGTAGGCAAACAGAAAGAAGTGACAAGGAAAAACAGGAGTGGAGGAGAAAATCAATAAAAGAGTTTCTTGAAACCTCCCTCCCTTTCCTTCGCCCGCTCCCCTTTCTCAGGGAAACGTAAGCCATCTTGATCGTGTAAATGTGACGGTGTAGTATCAAAAATATATTGTTGGGTATTGAAATAAAATGTCTTTATTCTGTCCAAAGGTGGAGATTTGTCAGCCTGGTGATAACAAGGAACTTTGCACGTTTTCAACTTAATTTCATTGGACTCAGTAGATTTTCATTCTATGTTTGTAAAATTTCCTGCGCGATTATTGTGAATAATGTACCATGTGAAATGAGAAAATATGAAATATTTGTATTCGATGAAGAATTATACTGTACATGGCTCAGATAATTAAAAAATAACATTAATGTGTTCATTATTCTATCCCTAGGAGATTATCTAGTGTGACTGAACTCCTAACCTAACTAGTAAATAAAAATCATTTTCTTGCATTTTGTACGTCTTATCCCAAAATTAAATTTGCTTTGAAGACTCTTTTTGTCTTTAAGTTTTATCAACCCGTACTGTTGTAGTGAGTTCATTTTCGCTTTACTATCTTACCAATTAAACGTTGTCTAAGTCCTATTCTGTATGTGACTTTTAGCTGGTCCAACGTATATAGAATAGCATAAATTTAAAGTAGACCTATATTTATACATTTTCATTTCTAGCATTTGTGGGTTCAAAGTATGGATCTTTTAAATTTTTAAAATAAAATTATTTAAAAATCGGACGTAAATGGTAATATTACAAATAAAAGAAAAAATATACAAATAAAATGTATCTTAGTTGAGGGAAAAACAAGTAAGTCTATCACTATGCAACACAGTTCACATGCCTTTACAATTCCTAACTTTACATTGCATGCATTGTGCACAATAAATCAGCTGTTGTATGCATACTTCATGATAGGCATGCATACTTCACCAGTGAATGTGATGTTTATAAGAAGTTCATATAGTTCCTACTGTTGAGGTCATGATTTACTGCCAAAGTATAGGCTACATTTAGATTTGTATTAAACAAGCAAAACATTAATCTTGTTACTTGTATATAACAGAGCAGTTGACGTTTCAATGAAATGGTAAAATTTATAGCTATTAGATTGAATTTGAACGAAGTTGACTTAATTTAGTTACATAGTGTGTTACTGTAAATTATTGTTTTTTGTCGTTGTCTAAACATAGCATTTTTTTTAACCGATTGACCAATTTATTATATATTTTTTATAAAGTCATTATGTTTGAAAATGATTAACATTGCTATAATTTTAAATACTGATTTCCAAAGATAACGTGACTAAGGATAAAAAAATTTTGACACCATCACACTGTGAGAGAAGTTAAACTTTTTGTTTGAAGGTCAGTTTTTTGGTGATGGTATAAGTTCCAAGTTTATGTTATTTAAGGTACTATTGGGAACATTTTCCATCACAGAAAAGAAATTTGAGGACTTTTCGGGGTCTAGAATCTGATCCCATCCTAAGGAGAGAAAGTACTAAATAATAACATCATTAGGTTTGCTTGGATTTGTGTACTATCCACTATCTTACTCATAATTTTTATCTATCTAACAATTTTATATTTATTTATTTTCGGTATAACATAATCTAATTTTTGGCCATACAAATCTTGATAATACCATTCAACAATATTCGTTATCTTCAAAATAAAAATCCCTTCTGTACGCATAGAGATGGGATGCTTACCAAGTATGATACTGGGTATGACTCTCAATTTTGATTCCGTAGTCCACTTCTGGTGCAGCATCGACAGTAGTGGTGAGGTGTTAGGATGGGGCCCAGGATTGGAGGATTCAGGAGGCGTGGCTAGTACCCATCCTCCCATACTGCTCCACTGTACACACCAGATCATCTCCTGACTACCATAGCTGCTAGAATCCTGCCCATCTGCCCATCTACTCACCGGTGTCATTTGTGTTTCTTATACAAGTGGATTTTTTTGTCTAATCATATCTCTGACTAGATAACAGTTTATCATCGATCAACCATTCTTATGATTTTTGTCATAGCATGGCCACCAATCGTTAAAAATTATTGCTAAATTAGGGTAAAATATAGGTACTGCATTTCCATTATAAGTTCATTTAGCATTATCTGCCCATCCACACTTTTGCAGCAGTGAATAATTACCAGTGAATGATACACTCTCGAGTTAATAGGCATTCGTGTTTCTTATACTATTTAAGTAGATTACCTTTCTCATACTATTTTGACTATCGTCGTATATCACCTATGCATAAAAACATCTGCCTTGCCAGCAAATGTTAAAAATATTTTTTTTTTAAGTGGTGAACATACTAAATGTGATTTTCTTAGCTAAAATACTTCAAAACATGGTCTTGAGTGTTTCATATAATCTCATATAACATACTCATATAACCCTTTCATATAACATACTCTTAGTTATTAAACAAATTTAAAATGTTCAAATACAAAAAATTAACAGAGTATTAATATAAGTTATTGCTGGTAAGCATCCTTACTGAATTAAGGATCACCAAACGAAGTTTATATACAGTACATACTCAAGTCCGGTGAGCAATTTCGCTTGGAACACATCATGACTAACCGCAAACCATTTAAGATTTTATCAATCTTAGCTGCATTAACAAAACATCATAATTATTGATTGGGTTTTTATTATTTAGTATTTATTACATGACAGGCAAACTTAGTGACTGAAGTCATATTAATCCAAATGAGATGAATGTATTTAATATCATATCATATACAAAACTGCTTGTAGCGAAAAATAATTATTTTGAAAGAAAGAATTGCAGTATATTTATGGGGAACAATAAAATCATAAACTAAATTTTTTATTAATGTGTCACCGTAACCGTTCTATATTTAATTCTATTACCTATTAGCTCATTACCTATATACCTATTACCTATATTCTATGGTATATACTATGGTATATTCTATGGTGGTTATATGCATACTTCACCAGTGAATGTGATGTTTATAAGAAGTTCATAAGTTACAAGAATCTCTGAAAATAATGGTCTAAAATCTGTCTTCTAAAATCTATAAAGTAATCAAAATATGGATGTTTCCACTATACTCAACCCCATATTTAGACCCCTTTTTATTCTCTGCGGCACACCGCACGCTGCTGCGTTCGGCCATGTTAGCGTTTAAAATGGATAGGCGATGACCAAACAAAAATATATGACTTTTATTTGTCAACTGTATTTGACAAGAAAATATAGAACACATTATTTTTCTAATATAATAGCAAGTGTTAATAATTTAAAACTAATTTCAAATTATGGACACATATTTATTACTAAGAGCAGAAAAACAGTAACATTTAATGGAGATGTGAGGTCCTAAATAAAACATTGCCTGAAGTGTCGCAGTATATATTTTCGTTAATATATTACAAGTACAAATACAAAGGTGTGATAAACCGTTCTTTGTACAAACAAACAACCATTTCGACAACTCGCATCACACAGACAGGGTCAAAAGGTGGGAAATTTGTAAAAACATGTAATACATGTGAAATGCCATTTCATGGTTGTCTTACAAAGACAAACTATTCTAAACAAATATATTTTCCTCTGCTTTAGGTTCTTAATTTTGAAACCTTAAATAATACAATAGCGATAGTTTGGTTCAAATAATTCCAAATAAAATCGTTTTTAAAGCGCAATTTCTCACAAATAATTTTTTCGTCAACATTTAACCCTGCTCACAAATGTACATCACAAATATTTTACGTAAAACTCAATTTGTAGGAATATTTACATCAGCTAAGTAGTTTACGATATAACCACATTAAGTTAAGTCACTCCCTTACGATTGCTTCTACGTCCCGTATTTAATCTTTGTTACAAAATAAAACAAATAACAAGAAATATCAAACAAAGATAAAAATAACAAAAGGGTACATAGTTTTGTGCTCATAGCGTAAATTGTGAAAGGACAATTAGTTATACTATTCTTAATTAGAGTTTTTACTCTAGTTTATAATTTTGAGAAGCACTGAAGGTACTTAGTTTAACTAAAGGACGTACTTTCTCGAGTACTTATATGCGTATTTTACAATCGTATTTACATAATATCAGAAGTGCGATGAATCTATTATTCGATTTGCGAATGTTTAGTTTCTATCGATGTCAATAAATAAGTTAAATGTTTACATCAGTCCTACCAGGCTAGGGCAACTTATGTACAAACTAAAGTACAACTTTACACATTACCTCCATTACGGTAGGTAATTACGAGCAAATTGTAGCCTAAATATAGCGATTGCTTACTAACTAGTTTTTGATGTCTCAGACACTGAGAGCTGTACCGTAGTCAGTCATTGGGAGACATTGGAAATGATTTATTTATTTATTAGCAAAATAAGTGGCAAATTAGATTATTTTAGTTTGCATTCTCTAACGTTGTACTGTATACCAAATTTAAAAAATGACAAATGTATGAAACTATATATAAATATTCAATTCAAGAGTGTCAACTAGTTTTAAGAACTTTTTTCATGCATTAGATACTTGATTTAATCGACTGTCCTACCGGTATGATGTGTCAGGGCTGTAACAGTTTGTAACAGGGCACGGCAACCTGTTACTTTATGGCCTAGTTGCATAGTCTGAGTAACCTATTTCTTAATAACACGACTGAGTAACAGCGTAGCAATAACATGTAATGTTTGTGGCACAACTACATCTCAGTCCTCTTTGTTGGTGGCGCCACTATTTATTTCTCTAGCAGCTCGGTTGGATAGCCAATGTAACCTGTTACTTAGCAACTGCATAGTCACAGTAACCAGTTAGTAAGTTGCGCTCCAGCCAGGAGTGCGTGTTCGCCGTGTAACCGTCAGTAGGCGCGCCGAGCGTGATTTAGACCTTGCGCACGACGGCATAAACAAAGCGGCAATATTTGTGCACTAAGTGACATTATTTACGGGACACCCTGTGCACGCAGTGTCCGCCTCCGCGGCAAGTGCATGGCTACACAGTTACTAGACGTTGACTTCCGCAACACCTCATTATGCTGCGGCCACCAACACGACCTAATTTTTATGCTATTTAAGATTTTAAACAAATTTCTTTATGTTAGCGTTAAGTAAAATGTTTTTATAAGTATTGGATTTTAGAGCATGAGTTAGTTCAAATGACTATTTTTTTTTATATAGAGTACCAAGGCAACGTAAAGACGTAGTTATTATAAATTCACATTGTTATGGCAATTTCTAATTTTACAACCGAAGCTCTGTTGCATATTTAATTGGAAAGAACAATGGAAACATTTCAAGATGATATCCGCCAACGTTATAATAGTACCGCTAACAAGAATTAGGTTTTAACGGTTTCCTCATGAAATAAACGTGAACATTTCCATGGGGCAAAAACACACAATAATAATAAAAAATAAAAAATAAATAAAAATAACAAGATGTCCTGTGCATTTCCATTTTCGTGATGTACAATAACCATACGTCTTACCGCTTATACTTTTCTTCAAACAAAGAAAACACTGTCGACACTCTTGAATGAATCATTTACTATTGGTTGTAAAATAACGTAATTAAAATTTGTTGTGGACATTAATGATATTGTAGTAAAATTGCAGGTTGTAAGCTTTGCCTTAAACTCCACACTTATCTTGGAGTATACCATCTTAGACTATGAAAAGTAGTAGTAGACATCCCATTTCCATGTACCAGTTGTAGCTAGTTTTACAAATAAAATGAATGTTTCTAATTATACATACTGAGCTATTTGGGATTTTCCGTATCCAAACAAAGATTTGAACTACACCAATCTAAAGGGACAAATCAATGTAAACTAGCATTTTGATCACATAAATTATCTTAATATCAACATTTACAAAGAAAATATAATTTTGATATTTGCTTTGTCGTGATGTTCCAGTGAGCTGAAAACCTACTGCGTCTGTTTTAGGACTATGTCCACTTGTGAGCGCCTCATATGTCTTCAACTCCGAATGGGATGTCTACACTAGTATCTAAGGTCAATGTTACAGTTTAGTCTAATCATTACACAATATCTCGTAAACAATCACTCTGTTTGTCCATTCACTAGGAGCTGCACTCTAGCGGCGACGGACTCAGGTAATGCTGTGGACTGCCGTGGGGCGGTAGATGGTACGCCGCCTCCAACGCCGCCCCCGAGCCGTCCCCACACTTGTCTCCGGACTTGCCGCCTCCAGACTCCTGTTTCAACATCATCCGACGCCACTTGGCCCGCGCGTTCTGGAACCACACCTGCGAACAACGACGTGGATGAGTAAACCAGAAGACATTGTGGTGCTTGGATGAGGAACTAATCAGTGGTGCCTCCAGAAATATAATATCAGTGTAATATAAACTATGAGAAGGGGAATACTAAAATTAAAAATACTAGGCAAAGTTCTCCTATAGGGAAATCTATTTTCAACCGTCTATAGGATACATCCTGAAATAAATTAACAATGCAATAAACCAAGATTCTTGTATTTTTTACTCTGAGGTTTAGATCAAGATAAACTTTTCATGACAATTCTGTCCCTTTTTATGTGGTTTAGGTCAATGGTAATGGTCCTCATTATGTGGTTTATGCGAACGTAAAGATTTATTTTTTGTGGTTTAGGAAAAATAAATGTCAATACTTTCAAGAAGAGTTACTTCCTTTTATCTGTCGTTTTAGTCAAGATTTTCAAGATCAACGTTATGAAAATGTAAGCTCGTTGTAAGATTGTAAATTCACGATAACTTGTAAATAAAAATTAATTTTAGTCCACAAAAAGCAGAACAAAAAGAACGCGACGACTTTTTCTCCGTTCGGCCTAGAGTTTCAAGCACGATCTCCGCCCGTGTCGATTCGGATCACGACTTATCATCGTGACCTCAGACCCTGATGATCCCAAATGACTCCAAACAGATCCTAATAATATGACGAGCGCTACGATTTGTAACCGTTTATAACTTTGAAATTAACCTATAACCGTTGTGCTTTGAGGATATTATCGATGCGTTTGATTATAAACAAATAAACACCGAATAGTAAATGTTTACGAATTCAAGCAGTAGTTGTAATCAGGAACTATATTTCTGCAATATTTAATCAAAAATACAAGTAATAGACCTACTTTAGAGTATAATACAACATGTTAAAGTGATATTGGTACTTATTTTTTGACTGTGTGATTTTTCCAAAGGTAAAACTTTATACAAATTGCAAAAGACATGATTGTTTTCCACACGTTTCAGAAATACCAGAAAAATTAAAAAAAATTAATAGTCATGATAAGTGTCAAGCTAATCAAGCTAAAGAAGATATATTGTTAGAGGTGTGTACGTGTGAAAGAGAGCTTAAAACTATACAATTTTCTTTTTGGACACAATTGATTATTGTAAGATTTATCAGTAATTGATCACAAAAAGTGACTCATTGATCTCACTCTAAATTTAGTGGTAATTTGTCATAATTTTGAACAAATAAACTATCGAGGAGTATGGGGAGGTAAGATAACCTAAATAAATCATCCAAAAAGGCGGTTGTTGAACATGTTAAAATACTCAACACTCATGTTCCTAACGATAGGCCTAATGTGAATCCAAAAACATTGCACCAAAAAAGCTAAATCCGTGTTAATTATTCGCCCTATTTATTTTACGACGCGAACATCAAAGTGGAAGTGTCGCGGTCGACAAATCATAGAAACAAAACTGGTGCTAAGGTGTGTAATAAGCGACATTTGATAAACGACGCGCGCATAATGAGCGGGGAGGCGCGAGGAGCGATTAGGCGCATCTAGGCATCCCAACGTCTGTAGCGGCGTCTGTAGTGTATAGTGGCAGCGGCTCGGCGCAAATTAGCAGCAAAGGCGACGCGGTGTCGTCCATCTTGTGACGGAATTATCATTGTTGAATAATGACGAAAAACGCGCGAGCCAACGCCGGTTATGAGCGATGAGCCGGCGATGCCAAGCGCGTGGAAAATAGTGCAACATCCGCTTTGTTGGTAGGATTCTATAGTTTCCGGTGTGGAGATGAAGTGGAAAATGTGCTCTTGGGAAGATTTATTTACATCAAAGAAAATATGGGACTGTTTGTTGGTGTTTTGGTAAACAGTCAATCCAATCGGCAAGAAACAAAATTTTAGAACGCAGTTTTATTTGCGAACGTTTCTGTATTACAGTCTCAAAATTAGATCAAATGCCTGACTTTTGACTGGTTGTATTAGTACAGGAAAAATACTGTATGAACAAAATAGTTCAGAGATGAAACTTTGGTTGGTCCTCGGTTAAACCCGTCCATACGATCAACACGAAATTTGTGGGGCATCTTTCTGTATCTAAAGTTGTCTGTCATAAAAATTGACTTAACTTTTAGTTGGTCATTACACCTCGGGCCTTTAAAGTTACCTTGCCTAGCAGATAGAATTATTTTATTAATTGGTTTGTAAGAAACAACGAGAAAATCAATGTTTGCTCTATTTACTTGTTGTTACGCACTAATAAACTTAAACTTTTTCTGCTAATCTGTAGATTAATGCTAAATATTAATCTTACGAGCAGGGTGGATTGTAGATAGTTTAAAATTTAATTTTTGGGTGGATTTATAATTTTAATCGGGTTTTATGTTTGAAAACCCTCTTAACTAAACCACGAAAACACTTTTTTAAAGTTTATAAATACAAAATATACGCACGAAAAAATTTGTTCAAAGTAAATTTTAGCCAATAAAAATTTGGTCCCAAATAGTTTACTAAATTCTTGCTACACTTTCGAAAACCTACTTTAAATGTTTAAAGGGCAGGTTTAAAGAGCTACTCTGAAGTAAGCCCTCTCGACCACTCTACTCTCCACTCTGCTGGGTCATTCTCTGTGTGAACGTAGACCGCACAATACCAGACATTAATTACTACATTCCAGCCTTGGCATTATCAGGACTCACCCTACATGTGTAATTACAGACGTGTTAATTGCCTGAGTAATTGTGTGAATTACCTTTATTTCAATCGATACCGTGTCATCAGTGCGCTATGGGTTTGAGTGTTCGTTATAGAATGTAAGTTTTAATTGAGACATGAAAGAGTAGTAGCATTGACTTTGGTGGGAGTATATTTTAATTAAGGAGTATGTGTAATCATTGGTAATGAGTTTATTGATGTTTCATATACCATTGACTTTGTATACTAGACTACTAGTGTCCATTTCTAAAATATGAAGCAAGAGTCAATGTGAAAATGTAGCTTATCTTGATCAAATATGAGTAAACTATCGAATTGTGGTTCTGTAATTAATTAAACTAAATGTTTGCGTCGGTGTATAGGCCTACTCCACCACAACAATGACCAGTTATTTTCATTTCGTATTTGACCACGTATTTCTGTAGTATTTTGTCCTCTACCACGTGTTTAGAGACTACACCAACGGCTTAAAGATTTTGCTTTATTTGCAACATGTTGTGTTTGAAGGTTTTACTCTCCGACTGGTTTACAGCAAAAAGTACGATGCTAGCTCCCAAAAGCATTGATCCAATAAGAAGCACTTATCCCAAATTAATCCGACTCAGATTTCCCAAAAGCAGCCCCTCCTGGCATACGCTCACGCACACACACATGCGTTCAATCCATCACAAGTCGGAAGGAACTTGCCCCTTCATCTCTGAAGCGAACCAGAAGTGTTTTATTCCGAGGTTCAGCAATTAGGGAGAGAAATGCCCCGATCTCAACCGAGCCTGGTTCAATTCGGCAATGTTGACAGATATAGAACCTTCTCCCCTTTACCCCCTCCCCCTCCTACCCACAATTTGACTGAATTAGTCTACAGCTTCTATCATGTGGTGAGTGAGGTTAGGTTTGACTCTTTGGACGGGTGGGTATTTTCGTTCTTTGATTTGACTCATAAAAGGTCGCCGGTTGATTCTGGGAAGTCAGAGGTTTGTGGTGGTTCAAAACTGGATCTAGCCAACCTTGATCATTTAGATTTTCAGAATTGGTCTTGGCTAAACAGTAGATCTTTGTCAGCAACAAAGCTACATCATCTCGCTTCATTCTACGGTATTTTTACTTTGCTTCTTATCTTATATATTAAAAAAATTTGGTTTTTCTTTTCCGAGTTCGTTTGGCTCTTCTACCCGACCGATTTTCATGATTGAGGTCTCAAATTGAAGGTATGCACGCTCAGATTTGCCATCAAGCATCGGCATATATTTATCTATAATCCTACTCGGCTTATACGTAAAAGAAATTTGCTCCCCATGTTATTCTTATGGGAGTTAAATTTGGTTTATCTTTGCCGAGTTCGATTGGCTCTTCTACCCGACCGATTGTCATGATTGAGGTCTCAAATTGAAGGTATGCACGCACAGATTTGCCATCAAGCATCGGAATATAGTTATCTATAATACTACTCGGCTTATACGTAAAAGAAATTTGCTCCCCATGTTATTCTTATGGGTGTTAAATTTGGTTTATCTTTGCCGAGTTCGATTGGCTCTTCTACCTGACCGATTTTCATGATTGAGGTTTAAAATTAAAGGTATGCACGCACAGATTTGCCATCAAGCATCGGGATATATTTATCTATAATCCTACTCGGCTTATAAGTAAAAGAAATTTGCTCCCCATGTTATTCTTATGGGAGTTAAATTTGGTTTATCTTTGCCGAGTTCGATTGGCTCTTCTACCCGACCGATTTTCATGATTGAGGTCTCAAATTGAAGTTATGCACGCACAGATTTGCCATCAAGCATCGGCATAAATGTATCTATAATCCCACGTGGATTATACGTAAACGAAATTTGTTCCCCATGTATTTCTTATGGGAGTTAAATTTGGGATTTTTTTGCCGAGTTCGTTTGGCTCTTCTACCCGACCGATTTTCATGATTGAGGTCTCGAATTGAAGGTATGCACGCACAGATTTTCCATCAAGCATCGGCAAATATTTATCTATAACCCCACTTGGTTTATACGTAAAAAAAATTTCCTCTCCATGTATTTCGTATAGAAGTTAAATTTTGTTTCTCTTTTCCGAGTTCGTTTGGCTCTTCTAACCGACCGATTTTCAAGATTGAGGTCTCAAATTGAGGGTATGTACGCACAGATGTCCCATCAAGCATTGGAATATATGTAGCTACAGTCCAAACCCGGATTATACGTAAAATAAATTTGCTCTATTGGTAGTTAAATTTAGTTTTTCATTTCCCAGTTCGTTTGGCTCTTCTACTCGACCAATTTTCATGGTTGAATTTTCAAATTGAAGTTATGCATGTCCA